GATCTCCCCCCGAGGTTTCTCACTTTTTTCCCACAACAGAGAACTGTCCAACAGACGATGCAGGGGGGTCTGTTGGACAGTTTTCCGTGTTAACAAGAAGGACTGTGGTGATGATCCAGGACACTACATTCTACAACATGTATGGACATTTATCAACATTCATGGCCATTGTCTGTCCCTATGGACCAACCTATGACCTGTGTTGGTGATTTCAATGGTTTTGTTAAGTCACCTGAGATGACTACTGTTGTGATTTAGGGCTATACAAGAATAAATTGTATTTTATTGTGTTGTATGTGTGACGGATGGCTATTGTTGGAAAAAGTATATTCTCAGGTCTAAAATGACTATGTACGGGCAAAAGCTGAACATCCCCGCGCTGTGTGTTTACCTCCTAGGGTAGGAGAGAGGTGGGCTCACAGGGAAAGGAGCAGAGATCCAATTGAGGTGACATCACTCTATGCAAGAGATGGCAATAATTTCACATGTTTTGAGTGTCGTAGGGTGTATCAACCAAATTATGACCACATGTGCAAAGGCTATAAAAATGAGGAGCCCAATATGGGACCTTTAAATGGTCACTCTAATCAGAAGATAATTTTTATATCCCAATCTATACAAATAACTGTTATAAACTAACAATTGGGAACATAAATCCTACAACAAACAAATGTTTGCAATAGAATTACCAGAAAGTCTTTTTCTCCAACTCCATGTTTCATGTGCACTCTAACTTGAGTGAATAATGAATGCGAGCCCTCTTTCTAACACAAACACCATTGAACCTTCTGTGTCTCCCTATACGCTCACAAAGTACATCCATGCTTCTAATGAATGATTCAAGCAACATTGACTCTTCCACGTGTTCGGCTTGTCATGAAAACCTGCCATGTAAATGTTGCATTGTGTTGTCTAGTTCTGGCAAAGTTTACGACTTGGAAAACAGTCACTACGACCACCACCACTTTAATCGTTTTATACACGCACGCAATCACACACAGAGAATCCTATGCATTATATTAGACCAGTGCACATGAGGAAAAGCAGACAATAATAATAATAAAGACAATAAAACATAAAAAACATAGCAACACATAAGGTACCTCTGAAGCGAAGCAGGGAATGGCCTGGTTAGTATTGTGATGGGAGGCCTCTGGGATCTCCAGGTGCCACAGTGGGGCGGCTGCGGCTGCAAAGTGCCAAACTGCTGTTGTGTCCTTAGGCAAGACACTTCACCCACATTGCCTAGAATGAGTCTGGTGTGTGTCTGAATGGTTGGTGGTGGTCAGAGGGGCTGATGGCACACACAAGTTGCCTCGCTTCTGGCACTGTGCCCCAGGGCATCTGTGGCTACAGTAGTAGTTTATCAGCACCGTGTGGGGTGAATGAATAATGACATGTGAAGCGGCTTTGAGTTTCCAAAAAGCTCTTCATAAAACTGACGCATTATTATTATTCTTAAATGTAAATCATAAAAAAGGCAGATAGAAAATGTATAAAGGCATAACACATTTAACAGCAAAATTGTTTTTTCTCTCTATTTTAACATTGTTCCCTCTTCAAAAACAGACATGGAGTTGTTATTAGATCCAACTTGGAGATAATGAGTTTTTCGGTGTCAACACTAACCCTGGCATTTTTTGAAAACAACCTACTATTTGTTGATGCAATTATGTTTTTTCCCCCCAAATGGTCGGAATGGTTTTCAACTTTAATCTTTGTTGATGTTTATTCTCTCATGACCGAGTATTGCAATCAGCACGGATGAGACGACAAACCGGGGGGCCATGTTTCGTTAACCGCTGTTTGTCACTCGGAGAATGGAGCGGCGCCAACTTTGAAGTCATTTAAGGTTCATTTGGCACGCTGCGGTTTGGTAGTAGTTTCTCGTGTCGCATGTAGCATCTTAATTGAGTGTTATGGTAGCCAGCGTGCCGTCGGAAGTGTGGTTGCGGCGTTGACAGGCTAACACAAATGCCTGTAGAGCCACATACGATGCCAACACGGCCGCCTCGCTCCCTGTCAGGCGCCATTATCATCATGATCATTTATTAAACAGGGCAAAAGGCAGAGAGGGTGCGACGGCAGCGGGCCTGCTCAGGGGAAGGAGGGATTGCTTTCTTAATTAAACGAGAGGAGGAAGAAAAAGACAAGTGCGAAGCGCCACGGGCTGAGGTTCCTTTGAAGAAAACAACATTTCTCTCTGTCACTGCGCTCCCCAGTGCTGTGTGAGGCTGCGTGGCCGTGTGCGATGGATGTTCTCGCCCGCTGGAACAGGATTTGGGACTTTTTGAAATATTTTTTTTCATGTTCACTGTTTAATGTACTCTAGTATTAATAATAACACTTTTTTATCAAGCCCAACTGAATTTCCAAAACATTATTATTTTTAGCTTGGTGTTATTTGGTTGGTCTTGTTACAATTCTCAGGAGTTGTTTTACTTGTAACAGCTTAACACCGGCATTACAAACACTTGAACCCAACATATAATTTCTGAAACAATATTCTTTAGTCACGACCTTTGGTCCAGTTTTGTCTTAATCCAAACACTAACGGAACTGGATTACTTTTATTTCATCAAGTATTGTCAAAATACCTTCATCATCTAAAAATAAATATATAAAATGAAACTTTTCACAAATAAAATACCTTTGACAGTTCTGGCTCCTGGCCATCTACAACTTTTTAAATTCAGCCCTGACCAAAAAGAGTTTGACACCTGCTCTAAGAGAAACAATGAGATTAAACATGTTTGTTTGATGTGTGCATAACCTGAGTGCTCTTATTTGTCCTTTTATTCTGCTGTAATGTGTGCAACTATGGCATGGACATTAATCTTTCTTATCTTGTTTGTCGAGTTGAGACTCAAATGATGAGTGGAAGAGTGTACACTTGTTCGGTGGTTTCACATCTTGACAAAAAAGCATTTTTGTTCTAAATGATTCTCTTAAAGTGAACTGGTATCGCGGATGTTATACTTTATTTCTATTATCACCATCATCATCTTTATTATAATCATTATCAATGTTATTATGCAACAATCGTATATCATTACTCATTATTATTATAATTTAAATGTTATATATATATTTATATGTATATGTTTAAATTTACTATTATATGTTTATAATTATTGTTTGTGTGAATGTATGTATATATGCATGAATATATATGTGTATGTATGTATGTGTAGATATACACTTTGTCTTTCCTTCTCCCCCTCTTCTGTACATAAGAAAAGATTTCTGTAATTCCACATTCACTCTCATGCACACACATGCACACACTCACTCACACACACACACACACATGCGCGTGCGTGCAACGATTGCTTTTTCTTTCTTGTTGGTCTCACTGTCCACTCTCCCCTCTTTGTATAGATTCTCCTCTTACGTTGTAAATATCACTGAAACTGATCACCTATGTTGTCTTTGTTGTCTATGTTTGTTTCTTGTTTGTCGTATTGTATGTATTGTATTGTATGTTTTGTATGTCTATTCTCAACAATAAATGAAAAAAAAAAAAAAAAAAAAAAAAGTGAACTGGTATTGTTCATTTCTGATAACTGCAGATTCTGAAGCCCAAGTCGCAGGCTCAGTATCTGACTTCAAACAACTGGAGTTCTACTAGTTTTGTTTTAATGTGATTAATGTTGGTGTCTATAAAGTAAATTAAATTCAGGAAATGTATGCATCAGTTTACGGCAGAGTTTCATGGCTGTTTTTTGTGGAGGACATTATCCTGTTGGATTTATCAAAGCAGACCTTCCCTTAAACAGTCAATAAAAGTCATGTTGAGTAATCACTCCAGGGAGCAGAGGAGGACTGTTCCAAGCACGGGGCACTTAGCTACAACTTAAAATGAGATCCCAAAATCAAAACAGAAAAGCATTTAAAAAACCAGTTGAAATAATTGAGTCATTATCCAGCGCACAAATACCGCCTTTAGCCACATAATTAGACTCTGCTGTTGAATAATTTAGTTTATTTGCGCTGTGGTAAGAACATCATTATATTGTAATATCACAAAGTGCCTGTAACCAATTCAAGTGAAACTGTGAATCTGTATGAAGAAGTTTAGATTAAAACAAATCTTTTACATAACTTTGAAAATGGAACAATATCTGATCAAATGATATTATCGTTGTAAAGCGCTTTAGGTGACCTTGGTCTGTTAAAATGTGCACATAAAAATTACATACTTACTATATATATCCAAGGCTATGGGAGGTGCTTTCTTGGGGACTTCTAAGATCTTCTGGTTTGTGGCAGCTTTTGAACGTTACGTTAACAAATTTAGCGATGGGACATATGGACTGAAGGAAGGGTGCATGGATAGATATTTATGCTTCATCCACAAACCAGCGACCACATCAAGCAGATAGATGGATGAGCTCAAGATTTGAAAAGAAGAATGTATATATACATATCTTTCATCCTCGACTGAAAGGACGTCAGTGAATAAACATGTAACGGACACTCATTTTGCTTTTGAAAACACTCATTGGGATTAATGAATACAACTGTGAGCCTGTGAACAAGGATAATCTGCCTATAATTACAATTAGCAGTCATTAGCACTGTGGGGACGGTTCCGGGGAAAGTGGATCCATTTCCACTCAAATAATTAGGATAAAAAAGGAAACGTTAATAGCAAAAGACGGAACACTTAGTGGAAACTGAAGAGTAGCGTTTCTCATTTACCCACACAGTTCCAAACGCAGCTGGAGGCAACAACACACCCAAACATTGTGGCAGAAGTCATTTTCGACCACGGTTCTTAAAAAAGCTTGGCTCGTTCTCTAGAGGTTTTTTTCCCCATTCCCAATTAAACACAGCGCTTGAAAACAGTCTGTCTGCATGACTGTGCTGATGTCAAAAACAATTCCTTTGTGAGAATAAGCATGCGTGTGGCGTGCTTATAGGAGTCGTAGACGGTGCTGCCGGTGCTGTTGAGAAAGGTCTTCAAAGGTCGATCGGAGTTGTGTTGACTGTAGAGTATGGTAATGGAGCTGGAGTCAAATGAGGAGAAGAGAGAAGGCAGTAAGTGACACACAATCAAACTGTTATTTGGTGGTTTTCATGAATTTGTGGTTCCCGATGTCTGGAGCACTACGGCACTTTACAAGATTTCTCCAAGTCCCCCCTTATTGACTCAGACTTTACACTTCAATTCAATTCATTTTATTTCTGTATAGCCGTTAATCACAACAGCAGTCGACATGGAGTACGCCAACACAGATCAGAGAATCAAACAGTTCGAACACAGGAAATGCAATAATGAACAACATATAGGAACCATAGGTCCACAAGGAACAGATGACCAATGTCCATAAATGTTAATAAATGTCCTTTAATGTCCTGGGTCATCACCACTGTCCTCAGACCCTCCTGTATCAGCAAGGAACTAGTGGAAAAATGTGAGAAAATTCAGCCCATATTGAGAAGGATCTGCTACCATGGGCCTGGGACGGGCTGAGGGCCGTCCGGTCCCTGTATGAACGAAGCCAGAGCTGTGTTCGCATTGCCGGCAGTAAGGCACACCTGTTCCCGGTGCATGTTGGCCTCCGCCAGGGTTGCCCTTTGTCACCGGTTCTGTTCACTGTGTTTATGGACAGAATTTCTAGGCGCAGCCAGGGGCCGGAGGGGGTCTGGTTCGGGGACCTAAGGATTTCATCCCTGCTTTTTGCGGATGATGTGGTCCTGTTGGCTCCAACAAACCAGGACCTACAACATGCACTGGGACGGTTTGCAGCCGAGTGTGAAGCGGCTGGGATGAGAATCAGCACCTCCAAATCTGAGGCCATGGTGCTCGACCGGAAAAAGGTGCCTTGCCCTCTCCAGGTGGGTGGAGAGGCCCTTCCTCAAGTGGAGGAGTTCAAGTATCTCGGGGTCTTGTTCACGAGTGAGGGACGGATGGAGCGTGAGATTGACAGGCGGATCAGTGCAGCGTGCGCAGTGATGCGGTCGCTGTATTGGACCGTTGTGGTAAAGAGGGAGCTGAGCCGAAAGGCAAAGCTCTCGATTTACCGGTCAATCATTGTTCCCTCCCTCACCTATGGTCATAAGCTTTGGGTAATGGCCGAAAGAACGAGCGACAAGCGGTCAAAATGAGCTTCCTCCGCAGAGTGGCTGGGCGCTCCCTTAGAGATAGGGTGAGGAGCTCAGTCACACGGGAGGAGCTCGGAGTAGAGCCGCTGCTTCTCCACGTCGAGAGGAACCAGTTGAGGTGGCTCAGGCATCTGTTCAGGATGCCTCCTGGACGCCTCCCTGGGGAGGTGTTCCGGGCACGTCCCACCGGGAGGAGGCCCCGGGGAAGACCCAGGACACGCTGGAGGGACTATGTCTCTCAGCTGGCCTGGGAACGCCTTGGGGTCCCCCCGGACGAGCTGGAGGAAGTGTGTGTGGATAGGGAAGTCTGGGCGTCTCTGCTTAGACTGCTGCCCCCGCGACCCGGCAACGGATAAAGCGGAAGAAAATGGATGGATGGATGGATGCTCCCATGGACAGGATATAGATCCAGGACTTAGGAGAGCAGGTGAATAGCAATGAACAGACCACAGCTGAAGTCACACGGATGACAGCTGCAGTACATCCAAAATGCTGCAGCTCGAGTCCTGACTAGAACCAGGAAGTGCGACCACATTAGTCCAGTCCTCAGGTCTCTGCACTGGCTTCCTGTGGCTCAGAGAATAGACTTTAAAGCAGCTTTACTGTCTCTCCATGGCCTCGCACCAGGGTACATCCGCGACATGTTGGTGCCATATGAACCAACTCGGGCTCTGAGGAGCACAGGGACTGGACTTCTGTTAGTGCCAAGAGTCGGAACTAGACATGGGGAGGCTGCGTTTCAGATTCATGCAGCTAGAGTCTGGAACCGTCTTCCCGAGAATGTGAGACAGGCGTCTACTCTGGCTGTTTTTAAAACTGGACTGAAAACAGTTCTTTTTAGCTGTGCATACAAGTGAATGATTATACATTTTAAACTTCTTTTAATTTAGACCAAAATGGAACAACATTTGATTGTGTAATAATTGTAGTGCATTATTGGTCGATTTGCTTGAAATTTTGCTCAGTGTTACAGAGTACATTTCCAAAGCATTATTTTTGAGTGACTGTTTTCAGAATAAACTTAATTCTATTTTGGTGGTCATCAGAAAAAATAAGGAACACATGTTGGTATTTTGCTTTTGACACTATGATATTATACAAATGAGGATACACGTATTCATGATTCTGTACTCTGATTGGACCGTGTAATGGAATACTCAAAAGTACATTTTAAAGCAGGTATTCAGTGTTATATAAATGTCACAGAATTCCCCCTGTTGCTGGTCGTGTGAGAGAGCTTTGGTAAGTATGGACTGAGACAGAACACTTTCCTATATCAACCCTTTCCCCTCTGAATCATCCCCAATAGCCGCCGCAGGTCAAACAGAGCCCTCTGAGTCCCTCTAAAGCTTCCAGGACCATCACTTCTACATGACTGGTCCCTCAGCTGAGCTCTGGAGGGTTGGGGTGAAGTGAGATTTCATTACATCCTGATCCAGTGACTCTCTCCTTTGCTTGTTGTCCCGTGTCAGGTGCTGCAGACAAACAATCCAGAACTGAACGGCGCGCACTGAGAAAGCTGATTGACAGAAAGGAACTTTTTCTCAGTGGGACAAACAGATTAATAGAATCTTAGAATTTCCCCCAAAAGTGAAGAGTAGATCCTAGTTAAGAAAAGAGAGCTCCTGATGAGATCAAAGTTTTGACACATTCTGTTTGATGATTTAACTTACTATTCACAGCATTCATTTTAGATTGACATATCTATCTATCTTTTATGCGGAATATTATTTGCAATGACAGTCTTCCTAAGATTAGATTCCATGATTAAATTTGTCCATTTTAGGGTCCTTATTTTGCCCATTATCACCAAAGTATGTTTTCTCTAACTTTTAGGATCAACCAGTCACAGCGTCTGAAATGATGGCTCATACCGAGCAACAGGGTATGCTCCTCACAAAGAGAAGAGGGTTTTTTTTTCATTCCTTGCTCGGAGTTCTCTGAGAATGTTCTGGAATAACTGGAGTTTTTAGGTTAAGTTAGGAGCTCTCTGAAAGGACTCTCAGAATCTTTAGGCCCCTGGTGTTTCTGTTGCTCTGCTTATTGATAAAGTAGATATAAGAATTAAGAGAGGAAAATATAAAGTCAATGTTTACATGTTACTTGGATTATTTGAATAAGATATATTTTGATATAGTCTTGCCCGATCTGAAAGTGAAGGGCAGACAACTGTAATAGAATGCAGAGGAGCCATGAGGAAAGATTACCCAAATGCAAAGAGCGTGGCTTAATGAGAGGTTCATAGCACAGCCGGCTGACTGATGGCTGACATTTGGCTCCTCACTACCTCCACAGAGCACTAATTGAGCCCTCTGTGCATGTTTGTGTGATGTGTCTGTATGTGCTCCTGCCGACTGCGTGCACTTCATTTTAGCACTGCAAGGATTAAGATGTTTTCCTAAGACACATTCTGTTTGATTCTAAAAGATTCAGGGATTTAACACAGCAGTAAAAATATAGTTCTGTAAACAGTATGTAGTTTGTTTATTATTCACTGGATAAAACACATTATGGGTGTAATTATGAGTACTTGTGATTTTTTAAAATGAATTAGATCTCTGCTTATCCAGGAGTGGGAGATGGAGCGGAGAAGAGCAGGGACTTGGGGACCTCCCACTCCCCAGACAGCCTTTCCTCTCGATGTAGAGGTGCAGCGGCTTTACTTCAAGCTTCTCGCTTTTTGGTCATTACCCAAATTCCTCATTCATGAATGCAGTTTTAGACTATAATCAGTGTCACGTGGTGAAATGAAGAAAGGAATCCAGGAATAAAGCAAGACTGAATTTAAAGTGCTATATTTGGTGCTATTTGGACTGGGTGCAGCTCTGACTGTCACCCCCCCCGACCCAGAAATGGATTAAGGGGAAGAAAATGGATGGATGGATGAATTTAAAGTAGCAAGCTAATCTCATGGTAAAGTAACTAGTCAGGCCGCAGTGCTAAAAAAGGTCTCGTCATGATTCTCAAATCATTAACGACAAAACAAGGAATTTCTTTCGGGGCCTTTGTGAAAATAGATGGATTCGGTTATAGATTTTTGTTGACAAAACTCTTGTTTTTCAGTTACTATGGTCCCAACTGGATTCGTCTGAATATCTGGCAACCTGAGTCAAGGAGAGTGCAGTACCACTTTTGGCCAGATGTGTATATTTCTCCTTTAAAGTAGTTTAATAAAAAAAAAATAAAAAAAAATAATCAAATCCAGGGTAAAAACACAACACAAAATTCTACAAATGAAAACAAACCAGGAACAAATGTGGTATATACAATGGACGGACAAAAGTGGGAAAAAAGAGTGAAAAAGACACACAGAGAGACATAGGTGTAACGCATCAGGGTGAGGTGAACAAACAACAGGACAGACAGGATGCAAAACTCAAGCTACAAGAGAAACTATGAGCAAAATAAAACCAGGTAAAAATAATCAAAAAGCCCAAACCATGACATATCAGTATCAATCAATCAATCTTTGATTGTAGAGCACAGGGCAGCACTAAGCACTTCACAGTCCACATCACACTAAATATATACAGCAAAAGTCACCCTTAAAAACACAATTAAAAAAGGGATAAAAATAGTAAATAACAATAATGCATTAACTAGAGTAGGGATAATATCCTTCAGTTGTTTGCACAGGCAAACAGAACCATCTTTAACCTGGATTTAAACATTGCCAGAGAAGAAGCCTGTCTTGCATTTTCAGGGAGACTGTTCAAGATTTTACCTGCATAAATCTGAAACGCTGCCTCCCCATGTTTAGTCCTGACTCTGGGCACCTGCAGGAGTCCAGTCCCTGTGCTCCTCAGAGTCCGAGTTGGTTCAGATGGCACCAAGATGTCACGGATGTACTTTGGTGCGAGGCCATGGAGAGACTGGTACACACGCAGAGTCTCTGAGCCACAGGAAGCCGGTGTAGAGACCTGAGAGAACTG